GCGAAAGCCCAAATCGCACAAATATTCGCGGTCTATTTATTACTACGAATAATTCTGCACCCGGCTATTATTGGTGAATATCGAATTCGCAGTCCGCAAGCCAGTATCATTTTCATTTCGGTACCTACAGCTTTTCGAAGCTCTAGGCTTCCAATGACAGGCTTTCTTCGGAATAGAATTTCGATTTCCGATTGTTAACGAGTTCCATCGAGAATCCGGATTCTCTACTCGAGTAATATAATTAACAATACGCAGGCACAGTGCGTGTAACCGTACCACCACGGTCGCGATTGTAATTATCATGATCATCGCTGGGCATCGCGATCGCCCGGTTATTATTGACTGGCAACACACGTCCGCGTAATTTTCTGTAATCCATATTTGCGCAATTAATCATGGTTCCCTGATACGTTGTAATATCCATCGACGTTTTGTTCGTGTTCCGCTGTGGTACACGATACCCGTTCTCGATATCATTGTCGAGAAACATCGGATAGAATACCTATCCGGCTCCTAAACATCTAATTTTCCTTGATCGCGGCCGGATGATAACGTGGAAAATTCAACAGCGGCTACCTTCGAGAAGTCGAAAAATACTTGCAATATCGATGCAGTAGAGACTCCCTTATCCGAACATTTATTTCCACGCGATATCAAGAAACACGTAGCGTTCCGTTTAATAAAATTAAAGGTCTCCTTCGTTTCTAAAAAAATAGTGCAGATTGAAGAAATCACGAACACCGTAACATTGCTTACAACATATTTTTTCTAATGTTTACTATTTGCGAGAAAAACGGTGCTTAGATTTATTGAGAACACACTGTATATTCTGTATAATAATTGTGGAGACTTCCCATGGATTCGCGCCATCCAAAAATGAGATTGTCGTCAAATAGAATAAAACCAAGAGACAATGTAAGCCGAAAGAATTTCTCGACGCTATTCTAGTCAATTTTCTACCAGGTTTGCCTCGAAGGTGCAACCCCGTTCGTCTAGCGAGAGCTAAACGGATTAAAAGGAGACTAGAAAATGGGGGAAGAGGTAATAAACCAGGTAGAAACCGTATAAAACGTTTCCACGTGGAGGCAGAGCCGAAGGGGAAGACGTTCGGTCGTCGACGGGTTTTGATGGGGGTGCGAAGGGGGTGGGGCATCGTCGTTATATCGCTATAGCGGCGTGTGCCGCTAATATAAAGACAAATGAAGCGACGCGCAGCTGCCTTAGTCGGCCATGTGTCTTTATACAGGCAGCGACCCGCGCCACCGTGCAAGCTCATTCGCGGGAAATCTTCTGTCGGCCGTGAACACCGGCGCAGCCCGCTGCCTGGCTGACAAAATTTCGCAGCCGGCGAATTTTATTAGGTTCGCAGCGGGTTATTTATTCGGAACGGCGACAGATTATATGGCGATATTAGCGGTCGCTTCCTAAGGCCGCGAGGGAGGCTGCCGCGCTCGCATAAAACAAAGTCCCCGGCTTTTATATCCCGCGTCCGTGACTCTTTGAAATTACTTTTTCGAATTAATTGACCGCGCCGAACTCCCGGTCTTTTCATCCTTCGGCTCGCTTTGATTGTGCCGTACAAAAAGAAGTCGGTGCCACCGCGGCGCTCCGAGGCGGCAGGACATAGGTCGTTGAACATTTATTTATAAAATTGAGATTTATGTGATACGAAGTTATACACGAAATTGATTTGTCGGTACAATGATAATTATATCCGTACAATTATGCTAATATTTTGATTTGGTAAATATGTACAGTGGGTGTAGAAAGTATTCGTGCAGCAATCAATTTCAACAGAAACATTATAGAACTTTGTTTATTACAGAGAAATGTTAACGAAAATGATGTGAACATGTTCTTTGAGATCTTCAATACAAATGTCATAAAAAAAGAAATTTTTTATTTATATTCTTTATGACATTTTATTTAACAAAACTCTTAAATATGAACGAAAATATACGCGTAATAAGTATTAGTACACTTTTTTTCAACTTTACAACGACGTCTCTTAATTTGTATACATATAAATATAACAAAATATTTATACATAAACATGTTTGTTATTCTAGTATTTAGTTGGATTTCCTTTAGATTGTATAATCGTTATAAGCCTTCGTGACATTGACTTTACTAACTTTCTGGTAATAGTGCTAGAAATGTTATTCCATTCTTGCAGTAGTGCACTTTTTAAATCTTTTTTTTGAAGAAATATAGCGATTTCGAATTTTGTCTTCGAGACGACTCCATAAGTGCTTTATGACGTTTATGTCTGGAGACCGAGGAAGAGTTTTTAACTGATGTGGTAAAAAGATATCTTGTAAAAAGATATCAGTTATCTCATAGTTGCATTTTATTTGCACTTGGAGAAATAAGTACTTCATTTGGAATTTGAAATTCGTTCATGATTTCTATAAGTATTAATACTTTTATCAATAATAACGTGAAATGACTGAGAAATTATTAAATTAATCGATTAATGATGAACGCGTTATCCGAGAGCAAATCGAGCGGGGCAAACTGAGCCGCATTGGCGAGCAAACGGAAAATGCGTGAACGAAGTGTGCAGCGATTTAATCGAAAACTTTTACATTTCATAATCGAAGTTTGTTAACCTCAAGAAATATGCTCAAATATAAGTGCCGACGTTAAAGACATCGCAGAATAAGAAAAAGAACGTGTCGCAATAAAATGTTTGCCAGTTACATTCTAAAATGCGGCACCGGTTGTTCCATTAGCGAATCTGCCGGGTCAATTAGCCAGCGGCGGGCAGTTTTCGGGAACTGGGAATTGATGAACCGTTGGCCGGTCGAATCGGAAGATATACGGCCGCGAAAAATATACAGAAGCTACTCGCGGCGTCCTTAAGCGGGAGTATTAAGCAGAGGAACGGCGATGATAAAACGCGGCGCGCGCCAGAGAGCCGGCAATAAATGTTTCGTGGCTCGTAAAAATGTTATTGCCTTCCGTATGCCACGATAGCGGAAGTCGCATGGACCGGGTTCTGCCTGCCAAAGGACAGGAGACAATCCGCTTAGATCCTCTCGAAATACCTGGCCCGTGCGGTTCCAGTGCCATTCCTGGTTCCGTTCCGATCGATTCGAACTTACACTTTTTATCATTTCGATACACGACTTTCTGGACTCTTAGAGCTATCAGAGGATGCAGAGGATTCCTTTTTCTTGAGTTTCGCGATTTTCTGAATTACTACTGCAAGTTCTCTTGCGTTAAAGTGTAGTCCAAGCAAGTTTAATCAATCGAACAGTTTTATCGTTCTTTTTTGTCATTTATTATCATCATTTTTGTCATTTTGTACAACCTTACGGTTACTAAAAAATGCTGGAAGCTGTAGTTAAATTGATGTAGCTGTTCCAGGCTCAAGATTTCACAAGTTGCGACACTTAACACGTTAACCACCGAATATCCCCACGACATTAATAACCCTGTTTAATTAATAAAGCCGGAACTAAAAAATTAAAATTTATCACAGGAAATATTAGCGTAACTCTTTCGTGTTCTAAAAATCCTAGTAACATTCAGTTCGTTGAATGTATTAAAATAAAAATGAATTTCAAAACGCGGTTAAAAATTATTGTCGCTAGTGCTAGCAGAGTTATTGAACAGCTTCACTTCGCTCATTATTTGCATCGTTCCGATTGGTGCCAACTAACGGAAATTTTAGTTTATTTAACGTAGCTGTACGCAAACGGTAAAATTTCACAAAACCAGCGTCTGGGATATTCGGAATTAAAATCACGGTGATCCCGGTTAAGAGTTGATTCGCGTTGTTTAGCGGGAGGCTTCGGGACAAGAGGGGGCGGGAGGAGGAATTAATATTTTTCTCTCGTCGCGGGCGGAAGGTAGACGGCCAAGGATACCTGTAGGTAATTCGGAACAGCGGAAAATAAACTTTTCCGCCGCGTACATAAAGTAATACCCGATCCAGGGAGGTAGCTCGGTTCCTTTCAGCCGGGGGCAGGATTGGATGGTGGCTCCCAAGGGGTTAATTCCCGTGCCGAAGGGTGGAAAATATTCACGGTTCCTTAAAATCCGACGAGCGGGCTCGTCTCTTACGAGCTTCCTCTGGGGTGGCGTTATAGCAAACGGTCACTCAAAATACCACACCCCCTTTTTTTCTCCGACTCGCCCGTGGCAACGATCCTTTAATCCGCGCCAAACTGTCCGGGATATTTCTGCCTCCACCCCCTCCGAGACTGAAAACTCCAATAAAATTCCCCCTCGAGACGTTTCTCGCCTTTCTGCCGCCGTCTTAACGAACAACTAACTCGCTTCGAGACGGTCCTGCAATCTTAACACGTCGGATTCGCCGATTTTTCCATTCGCGCAGATTTCGCACGGTTTATAGCTACCTCGTTTGTTAACTTGCTGTAGGATCATGTTCGAGAAAGCTTGAAGACGTTTCTAGCACCATTGGACTCGAGATTTGTACGCTGATTTTATTTATTTGTTTGTTTGTTTGTTTGTTTATTCAGCATAAACGAGTGCCCGTTGTAATCATCTCCGAGAATTCAACATCTTAATAATAACAGGACAACGGAAATATATTTAATGAATGTATCTGAATTCTTTATAAAAGTACAACATTTACAACGTTTACAACGTTGTAACAGGCTCGAAATGATCATTTACATTTAATTGTGCTTGAAACGATCTGTTGAGTCGATTAATATCGCTAACGATGTAGGTAAAAGTGAGGTACAGTTCGTAGCTGTTTTGTAACCTGATATAATAACGAACCGAATATTCTGTAACAAGCGCGAGCATGGTGTAATTCGGATCGCCGCGATTATTATGGCACGATTAAATGCTGATATCGTGGAACAGCTGACCGATGCGTTCAAAAATAATCGAGCTATCACTGGTTAATGGGATGCAAGGCGAATTACACATATCAACTATTTGTATACAAAGTCGCGCAATATGGAAACGATTCGGTCGATGATACTGTAGCCAAAAATTTGCAATTCTCTTTCTTGTTTCAGTCCATCAGGTGCACGGTGACCGGATGTACCTGCGACTCTTTCACCCCTGGAAAACGTCACATCAGGTGCTGCGAGAAGTGCCATCATGGATGGGTGCCACATGGTGAGTACACGTACCCCTAAATCAGTAAATGATTAATTCGCACTTCCACGTGTCACAGACTAATTATGCGTAGTCGTTAAAAAAATATGGGAAGCAATAATAATAATAATAGTAAATAAAAATAACGATAATAAAATTTAATCGTAAATGAGTTGTTACATGACAAGTACTCGTACCCACAAATCAGTCAATGATTAATTCGTACTTGCATGTGTCACAGTCTAATTAAGCCTAGCCGTTAAAAATATATATAAAAAGCAATAATAATAATAATAATAAAGAAATTTAATCGTAAATGAGTTGCTACATGGCGAGTACTCGAACCCATATATCGGTCAATCATTAATTCGTACTTCCATGTGTCACATACTAATTAAGTTTAGTCGTTAAAAAAAAAACATAAAAAGCAATGATAATAATAATAATAATAATAATAATAATAATAATAATAATAATAATAATAATAATAATAATAATAATAAAATTTAATCGTAAATGAGTTGCAACATGGCGAGTACTCGAACCAATAAATCAGTCAACGATTAATTCGTACTTCCGTATGTCACAGATTAATTAGGTGTAGTAATTTTTACAAAAATATACAGAACAATTATAATAATTACAATAATAATAATAATAAATTTTAGATTTGTTTAACGGGATTAAAGCTTCATCGCAAAAGAAAGAGAATACGCGAGGATAAGATCGCTAGACTCATCACTGTAATACAGGTTCAGAAAAATAATAGAACGTAGCTCGAAAATGAATCGAATTCGGCCGAACGACTCCGATTTAAAGGGCTGTTGAAGATTTGCAAGAGGGTGGGCGCAGCGTGCACACGGTTAAACGCAAATTTTCGAACTGTCAGCATACTTCATCCGGGCGGCCCTCTGGGACGAAATTCAATTTTCCGACGATGACCAGTGCCGTCCCTTCGCGGCCACCACCCTCTCCGGCCTTCTGCGGGCCAGGCTCGTGGCCACGCGCGAGCATGCATACGTATCGCCGATAGATATAAGAGGGCGCACGCTTTATGCCCTCGTAAGCTTTCGAATGTATGGAGGAACCGATTGGCTGGCGTTCTCCGTCAGTCTCTATACTGGGTGTAACTATTGGGTATTTCGAAATATTCGTCCTAAATATCGCGAATAATTACAAATTCGTTCGCATTAACCCTTAACTCCTTGCTGGACCTTTTTTTTACAATTACGATGATTATAAGTACATCGTCGTTCAATTCTTGCTCCATTCAATCACTCGACAAGATTTTGATTTTACACAGAGATCCGCAGTCTGTTAATTAACACATTATATGCGAGACAAGTATTAACCCTTTGCACTCGAAGTTACTTTAACGTCAAAACCAAGACGATACTTCTGGCCTATAGTATTTCTACTTTTAATAATTATTTTCCTGTTGTGCATATAACGTTAAGCTTATTTGCTCATGCAGCTTTTTGCACTTGGAACGATTTATTAAATATAGATAAATTTAATAATGCAAGAATTATGCTGAAGAATGGTGTAGCAATTTGCAGTTGCACCTTAGAGTCGCCGTTCGACTGCAAAGGGTTAATACCTTTTCATACAGCCTGTTCTATAATTATGTTATCACCTGGCAAGGTGTAATTCCTGAGGTCATTTGATGTAACTTCTCCCTCAGCGAAAATGCAATCAGCGGCTTTGTTTACGAGTTATTCACGAAAAACAGTGGCAAATGATCTCGCTTTTCTGATGGTCACTGTTTTTCGTTAATAACTCGTAAACAAAGCCGCGAATTGCATTTTCATTCAGGAAAAAGTTAACTCAAATGACCTCAGAAATTACCCCTTGTCGGGTGTTAACATAATTATGGAACACCCTGTATATTTGAAAGAAACTCCTTTGAAATTCTAAAGATAGTCTAAAAATCGTTAAATAAATATTAAAATTAAATATTGCAATATTAAAAAATCGTTATATACTTGTTATGAAAATCTTATTATTAGTTTTGAAGATACTAAATAGTTTCTAAAAAGTGGATTTTTTCAAACTTCACTGGTTCTCCCTCGCTAAGCGTGTAAGTGAAGCTCGATCTTGTGACCCGCACAAAATCCGTTAAAAGATTTTCAAGAGGAATCGTCGAAGGCAGCTTGGCCGGTAGCATTCTTCTAAGATAGCAAAGCGAAACGCATTGTTCTTCGATGGTACAGCGGTGAAAAATGTATGAAACAGCGAGGGCTTGGCGAGGGTTAATCGACGCGATAAAAAAGAATGGCTGACGAGGCGCGTTCAAAATTCCCATCCGGCTCTCCGGTCGCAAGATGGACGATCTCTCCCAGCGACACATCCTTTCTCCCCGATGGTGGAACAGGCGGAAGAAGAAGATACCTCGGAGGAAACTGCAACTGCGTTCCCGTGGGACCGGAATTTATATGTATTCCGCGGCCCGTCCAATCTATCGCGGGTCAAGCTGCCGGAATTTTAAGCGCGATACACACCACGCCACGAACATCCTGATCGCCCTCCAGACGTATCAATGCGGGGCGCTTTGTGTCCGTAACATACAGGGTGTCTTGGTCAATTTCTCAAATTTTCGGATCCGCCCGTGGCGTTCCAAACGCGTCCGTGAATTCCGATTCGTTTCTCCCGCGCGAATACGGTATCACGATGGAGAATTTTGAAATATTGTTCGTACCGACTCTTTAAAATACTTCGGGAAAAGAAACAAGTGTCTACGTGGCTTCTGTATCTTGTAATTAATCCGGGCAATTTTTATCGCGCCCGGAAATTTGCGTTCTACTAAGAGTCTTACATTGATTTTACTTTGTCTTGTTTAACACTTTATCTACCGGCAGTTTTCAATAGTAGTATATGTATAATAATCTGTAATAGTATTTATAATAATATCTATAACAGTAGTATACAGTATACTGTTATTTATAACTATATAATAAGTTAATCTAATAATAATCTAATATTATACATATTAATCTAATAATAATCTATAATGGTATTTATAATAATATCTATGACAGTAGTATACAGTATACTGTTATTTATAACTATATAATAAGTTAATCTAATAATAATCTAATATTATACATATTAATCTAATAATAATCTATAATGGTATTTATAATAATATCTATGACAGTAGTATACAGTATACTGTTATTTATAACTATATAATAAGTTAATCTAATAATAATCCAATATTATATATATTAATCTAATAATAATCTATAATGGTATTTATAATAATATCTATGACAGTAGTATACAGTATACTGTTATTTATAACTATATAATAAGTTAATCTAATAATAATCTAATATTATATATATTAATCTAATAATAATCTATAATGGTATTTATAATAATATCTATGACAGTAGTATACAGTACACTGTTATTTATAACTATATAATAAGTTAATCTAATAATAATCTAATATTATATATATTAATCTAATAATAATCTATAATGGTATTTATAATAATATCTATGACAGTAGTATACAGTACACTGTTATTTATAACTATATAATAAGTTAATCTAATAATAATCTAATATTATATATATTAATCTAATAATAATCTATAATGGTATTTATAATAATATCTATGACAGTAGTATACAGTACACTGTTATTTATAACTATATAATAAGTTAATCTAATAATAATCTAATATTATATATATTAATCTAATAATAATCTATAATGGTATTTATAATAATATCTATGACAGTAGTATACAGTATCTGTCTCTTATACACATCTAGATGTGTATAAGAGACAGATATTATATATATTAATCTAATAATAATCTATAATGGTATTTATAATAATATCTATGACAGTAGTATACAGTATCTGTCTCTTATACACATCTAGATGTGTATAAGAGACAGATATTATATATATTAATCTAATAATAATCTATAATAGTATTTATAATAATATCTATAACAGTAGTATACAGTATACTGTTATTTATAACTATATCATAAGTTTTCTATAACAAGTCCTTTCAAGATCGAGGATGAACAGAAGGGAGTTTCTAAAACGATGTCTGCGACAGCAATATGCGACAGCAATATTATTGATGATTTAACAAATTATATAGATTAATATCGTGCAACAGTTTCTTCTGTTGTTGTTATGTAAGAGAAAATGATCGAGTCTCTTCTCGTGCAGCACAATCATCGTCAAAAGTCTGTCAATAGATCGCCGATAAGTAAAGCGTTGATTAGTTGACTTCCAGCGAAGAAATTCGAACGAATCATTTGTCTCTTCATTAAATTGATCGTTTCCCTTCGGAACTGTTCTGTTCGTCGAATTGTTCGCGTTCATTTCGTTCGGAACAGCTCCAGCGAATGACATCAGCTATGAATTACACCGCGAAGACAGCGATCGGAAGGTTGCCTCGATCCTCGTCTCCGAGGCGATTGTTTGACACCGGAGGAACCCGGCCAGTGGCTGATTGCTCGTCGATCGACAACGACCGGGATTTTTTGCCGCACCGAAACGAAACCGGTCCGGGTTAAGAACAAAAGGGGCAGCGACGAATCGTCGGGCGCTCGGCTCGATTTCTAATTCCAGTGGTCCGATCGGCCATGTCGAAAGAGAAATGACTCCGTCGGCGTGTTTCCGAGACCGATCCCGAGCAATTACCGGGATCGTCTTTTGTACCAGCGAGGTTGATGAATGCCAGCGGGCTGATTACCGTCGACAGAGTCGCCCCACCGGCTGACAGTGTAATGTGGCATCGTTTCGGGACGAAAACGGGCCGGGCCCTTTCGGTTGACCGACCAGAAAAATGAAAGACATCCTTTAATGCAGCATTGTGCCTCATCTCCTGCCATTTACTGGCTTTTCATTCTCTCAAAATGAACTTCGCCGTATCGTGAACGCGTCACTGCTCGCGCAACGAATTCCTAAAATTCCTATCAGGTTGTTAGACTTAATTGTCTTGTTTATAATTCCGTGAAAATAACAAGTCTGCAGGAAAAGGCTC